GCTTTTCATTTTGGTGTGTTGGGTCCTCAGTGGTCTTTTTGGGGTCCAGTGGATGAGGTACAACAGTACCAGCACAAGAGAGAGATGTGTGTTGCATGCAGCAAAGCTAGAGAGGCTGAGCCATCTAAGCCCTTGGGAAGTAAAGTCCCAGAAGTTGGATGTGGAGCTACTGGATTTGGTGTTTGCCCTGCTGGTTTTCGGTCTTGTTTTGGTCCGGTATTTCCTTACTAACCCTCCAGTCCTCCCTTTTGGAACGGTAATGTATATTCGGTTCCACTGTATGTTGGGAGTATGTAATTTGTCTTTTGAAGTTATAGAGGCTTACAGTTCAGAATTTACCTGAGTTGCAGAATAGACTTTGGACTGTGGACTTTGGAATAGTAGTGAGATTAATAATGACTATGGGGACTTTTAAAGTTAGACTAAAATGCATTTTGCATTTTATATGGTCATAAGCCTATGGGGGCCAGGGGGTGGAAAGTGGTGGTTTGAATGAAAATGTCCCCCAGGTTCCAAGTGTTTGGACATTTTGTCCCCAGATGATGGCGCTGCTTTGGGAGGTTTTAGAAGGTTTGGCTATCCTGGAGGAAGCATGTCACTGGAGGTGGGCTTAGAGGGTTCTTAAGCCTTGCCAGATCTCCAGTTGCTTTCTTGCTTCCTGTGCCTGCATGATGATGTGAGAGCTTAGCTTCTGCTGCTCCTGCTCCAGCCACCTCCAGCCACCATGCCTCCCTGCCATGATGGACTGTAATTCCCCCGGAACCGTAAGCTCAAATAAACTCTTCCTTTTATAAATTGTTTGGGTAAGTGTTTCTATCACAGCAACAGAAAAGTGACTAATACAAGGGTCAGGAATAGATCATTTCCTCTGAGTGCTGGAGATGACCCAACTTGGAACAGATGGAGCTGTGGGCCATGGCTAATAGAAAGTAGTTGGGGTTTCTGTTGTTTTGTTCTCCTCCCTCCCTTTCCTCCCCGCAGTAGAATGTAAATTGCTACTACCATTTCAGAAAGGGCTCATGGCAGAAACTACTAGAGTTGGGGATGGGTGTCTGCTGTCACCAAGCTTTCTACCCTGAGGACAGACACACTTAGGAAGAACACAGCCATGGATGTCAAGGAGAGCTGGGGGTATGGCTCAGAGGTTGAGTGCTTGCCTGGCATGAACAAGGCCATAGGTTCGATCCCCAGCACTGCAAAAAGAGAAGGAAAGTGGCTTGTAGACATTCCTCTCCAGTAATTCCCTACTTCCTTGTTTTTCTTAGGTGTATGTTTGTATGTATGTGTACATGTGTGTTTTTAAGTGTGGGGGCCCAAATATATGGCTTCATGTGCATGTATGTGTCTGCACATGTGTGTTGATGCCAGAGGCTGATGCTGGGAGTTTTCCTTGATCACTCTCCACCTTATTCACTGAGGCAGGGTCTTTTGACAGAACCCAAAGCTTGCCCATATGGCTGGTCTGGCTAGCTGGCTTTCTGGGAAATACTCTATCTCCAACTTCCAGGGCTGGAATGCCAGAAGGGCAGCCACACTCACCCAGCATTCACAGGGTTCTGGGGATCTGCACTTTGGTCCTCATCTCCCCAACCTCCCGACTTCCTTTTATTTGAAGGGCAAAACTGTGAGTAAAAGCCACATATCATGATATACGGGCAGAATCACCCACCTACCAAATTGCTACTATTGGTGATGGTTAAAAAAAATGTAAATAGGAAAGGACCCAAATACCCATCCGGATTGGAACATGCAGACAGACTGCAAAATGGTAACAGTGGATTAGCCTTCAGCACACTACAACCTCAACCGAGGAGCAGAGGGGAGGTTGGACATAAGCCAACACAGTGCCCTCTGCATCCTCAGGGGGTGAGTTCCAGGACCCCCTCAGACACCAAAATCCAATGCCTAAGTCTCTCTACAGTGCAGTTATCTGCACAGAACCTAGGCACAGCATGCCCTCCTGTATACTCAATCACTTCTACATGCCCTGTGACTCCGACAATGTCCATGATATGTAAATAACTGCTGTACTATATTGTCTAAGGAATAAAAGATAAATAGCAAGAACAAAAATCTAAGCTGGTTATTGTAACACACATGTAATCCCAGCACTCAGGAGCCTGAGACAGGAGGATCAACACCATTTTGAGGACATTTTGGGCTACACAGCAAGATCTGGTCTCAAAACACCAAAAGAAGGGTTAGGGAGATGGCTCAACAGGTACAAGTGCTCACCATCAAGTCTGATGACCTGAGTTCAAGCCCTGGAACCCACATGGTAGAAGGAAAGAATGGATCCTACAAGTTATCTGTCCCACACATGGGTACGTACACACACACACACTAAATTAAATAAATAAATAAATAAATGGGCTAGAGAGATGACTTGGTAGTTAAAAGCATGTACTCCTTTTGCAGAAGTTCCAGATTTGGTTCCCTGCACCATGTCTGGCAGTTCATAACCATCTGTAACTCCAGCTCCAAGGGATGTGTCACACAAAGACAACACACACACACACACAAACATACATATATATATATACACACACACACACATAAAGATAAATCTTAAGACTGGGCATAGAGGCATATGCCTTTAATCCTAGCACTCAGGAGGCAGAGACAGGAGGCTCTCTGTGAATTTGAGGCCAGCCTGGTCTACAAAGTGAGTTCTAGGCCTACTGGGGCTACAAGGACACCCTGTTTCAAATATCAACAAACAAAAGAAAACAAAATCTTAAAAAATAAAGAAACAAGCAAAATCCCCCAAAGCCATGACACACAGGGGAAGAGACATTTTCTCCAGGTACCCACACTTCTATCATATTTCACCGGGGGCTGGAAAGATGATGCAGCAGTTAAGAGCACTGGCTGCTCTTGCACAGGACCTTGTTCAGTTCCCAGTAACATAGCAGTTAACAGCTATCTGTAACTCCAGCTCCAGGAGATCCGGTGCCCTCTTCTGGCCTCCACAGGCAGCAGGCACAGATGTGATGCACATATACACATTAAAAAAAAAAGAGCTTCTCACCCATGCTCCTGTAAGCAACCCTAATGAAACTCATCATGACTTTAAAGCCATGAGAATAGAAAGGGTAGCTGGGTCAGTGAGGGCAAAACCCATTACGTGTAGTCAATATATGATTACAAAACAAGGAAAAACCAAGTCCATATGTATCCTACAAAGGCAAGCTATTTTTATATTTTTGGTCTTTTGAGACAGGGTGTCCCTGTAGCCCTGGCTGGCCTGGAACTCACTTTGTAGACCAGGCTGGCCTCAAACTCAGAGATCCACCTGCCTCTGCCTCCTGGGTGCTGGGATTAAAGGTGTGCGACACCATGCCCATCTTTTAAGCGGCTTTTTTTTTTTTTTTTGAGACAGGGTCTCCCTGTAGCCCCAGCTGGCCTGGAACTCACTATGTAGACCAGGCTGGCCTTGAACTCACAAAGATCCTCCTGCCTCTGACTCCCAAGTATTGGGATTAAAGGTATGCGCTACCACGCCCGGCCACACAACTGTTAGACAACAGTACCTCATTGACTTCTTACTTTTATTTCATTTTTTTTTTTTGGTTTTTTTGAAGCAGGGTCTCCCTGTGGCCCCAGCTGTCCTGGAACTCACTATGTAGACCAGGCTGGCCTTGAACTCACAGAGATCCACCTGCCTCTGCCTCCCAAGTGCTGGGACTACAGGCGTGCGCCACCACACCCAGCTTAAGTGTCTTAAAAACAACTTGATGCATGGTTGGTTGCACCTGTGTAGAGCCTGTGGGCACAGAGAGCCCACTGTGTACACTTTATAATTCTGTCCAGGTGAAGTTCAACCTGGGAAAAACAAAGCCGTGTGGTCTGGAGATGCCCAGAGGTGGGAAAATCAATGCAAATCAAGAAAATATAGTCACACAAGTTGGGTGAGACTTTACCCCTGGGGGGAAGAGAAGGGGCACACGGTGACTTGTGGAATGACTGAATGTTCCGTTCTGTGAGCTTAGTTGTATAGTATCAGTGACAATTTTTTGAACTGCACCCTCCTGTGCTTCTGTGTCACTGCTCAGAAGGTGGGATGTGGGAGCAAGGGGGCGAGGACACAGGCACTCACCACTCGGTGCAGGTACTTGTGGTCATAGGCTCCGATGGGTTTGCCGTCCAGCAGCACACGGCCACCCTGCAGTGGGTAGAAGTTTTCCAGAATGTTGACACAGGAGCTCTTCCCGCTGCCCGAAGGCCCCACCAGGGCTGTCACCTTGCCCGGGGACAGGCTGAAGGAGACATTCTGCAGGAACACAGAAGTAGCATGACTAGATGTCTGAGACACAGGGAGTCATCCTCCCCTGCCCATTCTCCTCAGCCCACCTCTCCTTGGCTGGGTGCTGCTAGGCTCTGAGTACCCTTCCTACAACTCCAGGCTCTAGAGCCACTTTTATTTATTTTTTCCTGTGGTACTGGGGATTGAACCCAAGAGCTCTCCCACTTTGCTATTTGAAGCAGGGTCTCCCTGTGGCCCCAGCTGTCCTGGAACTCACTATGTAGACCAGGCTGGCCTTGAACTCACAGAGATCCACCTGCCTCTGCCTCCCAAGTGCTGGGACTACAGGCGTGCGCCACCACACCCAGCTTAAGTGTCTTAAAAACAACTTGATGCATGGTTGGTTGCACCTGTGTAGAGCCTGTGGGCACAGAGAGCCCACTGTGTACACTTTATAATTCTGTCCAGGTGAAGTTCAACCTGGGAAAAACAAAGCCGTGTGGTCTGGAGATGCCCAGAGGTGGGAAAATCAATGCAAATCAAGAAAATATAGTCACACAAGTTGGGTGAGACTTTACCCCTGGGGGGAAGAGAAGGGGCACACGGTGACTTGTGGAATGACTGAATGTTCCGTTCTGTGAGCTTAGTTGTATAGTATCAGTGACAATTTTTTGAACTGCACCCTCCTGTGCTTCTGTGTCACTGCTCAGAAGGTGGGATGTGGGAGCAAGGGGGCGAGGACACAGGCACTCACCACTCGGTGCAGGTACTTGTGGTCATAGGCTCCGATGGGTTTGCCGTCCAGCAGCACACGGCCACCCTGCAGTGGGTAGAAGTTTTCCAGAATGTTGACACAGGAGCTCTTCCCGCTGCCCGAAGGCCCCACCAGGGCTGTCACCTTGCCCGGGGACAGGCTGAAGGAGACATTCTGCAGGAACACAGAAGTAGCATGACTAGATGTCTGAGACACAGGGAGTCATCCTCCCCTGCCCATTCTCCTCAGCCCACCTCTCCTTGGCTGGGTGCTGCTAGGCTCTGAGTACCCTTCCTACAACTCCAGGCTCTAGAGCCACTTTTATTTATTTTTTCCTGTGGTACTGGGGATTGAACCCAAGAGCTCTCCCACTTTGCTAGATTTCCACCAACTGTAGCCCAAGCAAGTTTAGAACTTACTATGTAGCTCAGGTTGGCCTTGAACATATGATAAATCTCCAGCCTTAGCCTCGAAAAGTAGCTGGGATGACAAATCTGCACCATCAGGACTGGCTTGGTGGCACCTTTATATCTGCAGCTCCCTCTGTCAGCAGAGAGCCACTTGCTCACTCCTGTTTCTTGGTTAGGTCTAGCTCAAAGGTCACCTCTTAGGGGTCCTGTGTGACTGTGATCAACAGCCCCATTCTCCCTCCACAGAATCTTGATTCTAGTGTCTTCCTAGCACTTCTTAGGGAGTGTGACATGCAAACTACAGACTGTATTTGCACCAATCACTTCATAGCTTTTAGTTCCACCAAGCTGGCTTCTTGTTGAGTTACTAAGAAGGACTCCCTTTCCCATCTTTTTCTGGGACTGGGTATGGAAGCCAGGCCTGGCACTTGCTAGGTACACGCTCTCCTGAGCCATTCCCAGCCCTCTTCCTGGCATGTCTTATCTGGAGCCATTCTTCTTCAAGGGAGCCCAAGGGCTCTCCCTCACCTGTCCATGGCCATACAACCAGGAAGTAGGAAGGAAGGCCCTAGCAGGTCACAATCCCCTCTCACCTGCAAGACCTGTGTGTGGGGCCGAGTACGGTAGGTGAAGGTCACATTCTCAAAGTCCACTCGACCTTCCAGGTGGTCCGGAGCCAAGGTCCCATCATGCACCATGGTTGGCTGCCGGTCGATGAACTCGAACACCTTCTCAGCAGCCCCCACACCCTGCATCAGGCCACTGTAGACTGAGCCCACAGACTGCAGGGAGGAGACACACACCCCATTCCTGAGACCCATCAGAGGTACCAGAGATGGAAGTTTAGGGAGAGCCTGGGACAGAGATGCAGCTTTGGGGAGACATGCCCTCCCATGCCACCTGCTAGTGCAGGAGACAGCAACGATAATGAAACGAAGGTGGCCAGAAAAGGTAATGCCATGGTCTATCCTAGCATTAGGAGCTACAGCCCAGGGTCAGTGACACGCCTTCTTACCACCACCCTGTAGATGAGGTGATGAGGTGCTACCCACCCTCTAGAGCACACATCAAGTGCAAGCAGGGTAGAACAGTCATCAAGACTTGCCTCTAGCCACAGCAGATTCTAAGTCGTTTTTTTTTTTTTTGAGACATGTCTTAGTTAGCCCAGGATAGCCTCAAACTCATTATGTAGCCAAGGATATCACACACACACACACACACACACACACACTTCTAATCTTCCTGCCTCCACCTCCCAAGTGCTGGGACTATAGTTGTGCATCATCATGGCTGATTTATGTGGTACTGGGGCTGGAACCCAGGGTTTTGCACATGCCAGGCAAGCACTCCAACTGAGTTACAACCCCAGCCCTAATTTCAAATTTTAAAATGTGTCTTAATGCATAAGCTATATAAATAGTTTCTCTTTGGCTAATAAATGCACCCAATATAAATATGAATCATGATAACAGCCCATTTTATTGAGCATTTTCTATAAGCTATGAGGTAACTTCTCTCAGAAAAACAGAGCTCAGGTATTTTGTTCCAGGGCACACAGCCAGAAAGTGGCAGGCTGGGTATGAGTGGAGACATGGTGGACTCCTGAGTTCAGCCTCTTCGGTACTATGATGTAGTGTTCACATTGAGGATAGGGTAACGCCAGCACCACATGCTTGTTGCTCTGAAAACAGTCTACACACATAGTAAACAAAATGCTACAAGTAAAACTGTCATCGTAAATGTTATTAATACTGATGTTAGTTATTAGGATCAACTCCAGGGCTGTGTGATACTTGTCTCTCAGGCAGCCAGTCATCCATTAAAGCATCTTTCTAGTCCCTTTGCAAATGCTGTGCATGGTGAAGTGATCCTGATTTTAAAAACAGACCAATGAGAGCTGACTAGCCCTGTAGGTCATGGACGTGCTTTCTGCACTTGACTGTGAGCTTCAGCTCATGCTTGCCAGGCTGCCTAGGGTCTCATAGTCTCAAAGATCACTCTAGAATGCAGATGCACCTGACTGTCTTGGGACTAAGGAACCCACAACACTGTGCTGAACATCCTGAGGCTTGGTTTTGCCCGATGTGGTTTTTAAAAATTATTATATTATTATTTATTATTATTATGTGTATAAGTATGTTGCCTGCATAGATGTAAGTGCCCATGCAGGCCAGAAGAGGGCGTTGGATCTTCTGGAACCATAGTTACGGACAGTTGTTAGCTGCCATGTGTGTGCTGGGAGTCAAACCTGGGTCCTCTGAAAGAACAGCCAGTGCTCTTAACCACTAAGCCATCTCTCCAGGCCTCTGCTATGGTTTTAAAACAGAGATTTTTAGAGGAATTACTCAGAATCAGGGGTACCAAGGCTGGAGCACACACTGGTGACTGAATCACTAAGGGACACATTCAACTGCCTGGGGGCTTTGGGAGGGAGAAAGAGTAGGTAACTAACACCCCTACTCCCCATTGGCTGACCAGCAGCTTAGGTTTCAACTCAGGACACCCTCCCCCCACAACACACACACTGCATAGGTGGGATGTCTTTGAGGCTCTATGCTGTCCCCAGTGAGGGGGGAGTCCCACTTGGCCAGACCAGTAATGGGTTCATGACTGGTCCTTTGTGGACTCTCTCCCTCCCAAATCCTCACCCCTGTTTTCTGGGTACCACCCATATAAATCAGTGGTTCTCCAATCCTGACTTAGGGGCTACTGGCCTAAATAAAGCATCTCTTGCTTTCTCAGGCTAAAATAAAACCCACCTGCTACTAGATCTGAACCCAGTACCCCCACTAAGCATGTGGGGAGCCAGCTAACCTCTGTTTCCTTTCCTGAGGAATGCAGATGTCGGCAGCCAGCACTAACACTTTTCCCAGAGCTCTTAGGAGCAGCTCCTAAAGTCATGGACCTCTCCCTGGCCCTTGACTTGATTCCTGTACTCTGTACTCTGCCTACTTTCGAGAGACCCCATAGCCCTTGTCCAGCCCTGCCCCTGCTACTCCTCACCTCCATGCAGTCTCCCAGAACAAACTCATAGATGATGAAGGCGATGAGGTTGCCGCTGGTCATCTGGCCTGAGATGACAAGGTGGCCCCCGTAGTAGAGGATACTGACCTGGACCACCAGCAGTGTGAGCTGGGGAGGAGAGGAAAGCCTCAGTCACATCAGAAGGCCTCTGCTCAGACCTGGGTCCTGCCTCTCCACTCCAGGGGCATAGGAACACAGCCTTTTTTCTCTTTTATAATTTTTGTTATTACATTTTACTTTTGTGTGTATGTGTGCATGTGTTTGTGTAGGTCAAAGGACAACTTGCAGGAGTCAGTTCTCTCCTTCCACCATGTGGGTCCCAGAGATTGAACTCTGGTTCTCTGGCTTGGCAGCAAGTGCCTTTACCTACTGAGCTATCTTGCTGGTCCCTGGAGAGCAGCCACAAACGGAAATTTCACTATCCCTTGTCACTCACACTGCCTCCCCGAGTAGCTCCCAACAAAGGCCCCTGGCTGAAGCAGGCTATGGGCTTGGCAGGAGAACAAGGCTTTCTTTGTACAGCCCTGGCTGGCACATGCCACCTCCAAGTTCCTCTGCTGTGTCAGGCAAGGCTATTAGTCCTCATTAGAAAGAACATGGCTCAGAGAGCTTGGTGCACTGACTGAAGTCACACAGCAGTTAGGCAGAGCAGGGCAGTCAGGCTTTTTTGTTCTGCTAACCAGGCTCTTGAAGAAGGTCTGTCTTGGACACCTTTGATGTCTTCCTGCTATGGTGTTGAGAGTGGGGGGTCCTGGGAGATGAGGAGAGTCTGTGTTATCTATGGTAACCCACAAACTGCTCAAGATCCCTAACAGTCCTTCCCTATGCCAAGCCCAGAGCTAGGTCAACAGCTGGACAGGTGCCCTTGTGGAGGACAGAAGGTTCACTATGGATTTCCTGCCTTGAGGCTTGGCAGCTAGGCTGGGCTTGTCCCTTCTCTTCTGCTGAGTTGGTGCTTTTAGGGGATGGTATCACCTCAGCAGTCCTTGCCTCCTGGCTGTGGACCTCCAGTTACTTCCTCTCCTGAAATTCTGGCCTCCTCTCACCTTCCCTGGCCATTTTCAACTCCCCAGGCTGAAGGGACAGGGAAAGGGTCAAGTTCTCTTCATTCTCCAGGGAGGAGCTGGGGCTAGCCTAGGGAAGAAAGCTTATACCTACATTGCCACCCCATGCAGAGTATGGAGGGGGGAACAGAGGAGGCCTCTGGAAGGTACTGTGGTCTTTCCAGGAAAGACTCTTGGCTTGATGCCCCACGTGGGGACCAAGGCTTACAATCCATAGCAACCTATCTGTCTATGTGTCTGTTCTCCTCACCCCCAGTGTCCATGGGCACGCACCCCACTACCCCAGACGTAGGACATGTAGGCTGCTGCCTCTTTCCTGTTCAGCTTGTAGACCTGCTGCAGCTTCCGAAGATACACGTCGGCCTCCTCCTCCTCATTAGCAAAGCTGCGCACTGTCTTCATAGCGCTAATGGTCTCTTCAGCTGTGGTGCTGGCTCTGGCCAGAGCACTCTGGACCTCTTTGGAGAGTCTCTGTGGACAGGAACAAGGCAGGACAGTCTTACTATCTTTAGGCATTTACCTCCATCCCCACTCTCCATACCCTGGGCTTGTTTCCTCCCAGCCAGATGGGACAGACTCAGAAAACAGTGGAGCTCTTAGGGTGTGAGGTCAGTCTCTGAGAGCAGGGGGTGATTCTTATGTCACTACAGGATTCAAAGGCAATGACTTGTGACTACACAGTTGGGGTAATTCTTTTAGAAAAGGAGCTTCAACACAGGATCCTGTGCTGTCATAAGAACAAGGAGGCCTTGGATAGGTGTTCAGGTTGTACACAATACAACTAACACCAAATACTAAGGGACAGTCAACATAAACCTGGAGAAAGTGTGAGGGTTGGCACCGAAATCCCAGAGCTCTAGATGGTACTGGACACTATGGGCTGTGCCATCTGCTCACACTGTGCGGGAACCAGAGGTAAATGATGGGAAAGGAGATCTATAAAAGTCTGCAGTGATTAACACCATAGCTTCCCAAGCCAGCCAAGAATAATGGCCTACGGGCCAGGATGGCATCACACACTATTGGCAGGTCCTGAGACCTTAGTGTGACACCTGGGTCACAGGGACCAGGCAATGTACTCTGCACCTTGGAGAAACCAGGCGGGGCCCTGAGTCATGTCTGGTTTTAGTTCTTTTCTTTTAATGTTTTTTTAAAAATTTTATTTATTATTTTTATGTTATGTGTATGCATGTGTTACCTGCATGTAGGTAAGCGCACCCATGTCGTGTAATGCCTGCCAGATCCCCTAGGACTGGAGTTACAGACAGTTGTTAGCTGCCATGTGGGTGCTGGGATTCGAACCCGGGTCTTCTGCAAGAACAGCCAGTGTTCTTAACCTCTGAGCCATCTCTCCAGCCCCTTAGTTCTTTTTTAAAACTTATTGTTGAGGAAGGGAACATGTACCCTGGCGCGTGTGTAGAGGTCAACTTTGTGGAGTTGGTTCTCCTTCCACCTCTGTGTGGGTTCCAGGCATTGAATTTAGGTGACCAGGCTTGCATAGCAAGCACCTTTACCCATAGAGCCATCTCCCAGCTGAGTCATGTTGTCCGTGGTGGTATGTGAGGTTTATGGGGCTGACTCCCCAGGGCATTGAAAACCCTCAGGCATGCATGCTGGAATGAACTGTCTCTGAGGCTCTGCCCACCTGAACTTAAGAGGGAGGCCTGAGGTGGGCATAGATGGGGTCTGATGGGAGGGCAGAAGGTTGGGGTGGGGGCAGAGGAAGGGGATAGGCTCCATCTATTTACTTTTTCTCCTCAGTAGGAAAATGGTAAAAACTGAGATCCAGGACTGAGGGGAGGCCAAAGGGAAGCTGGGAGAAGGCTGAAGGGATACTGGGGGTAAGGGTAAAGGGAGGCTGGGGTAAAGCTGGGGGGAATGCAATCACACAGGGAAGGTTCCCAGAGCTGAGGACAGTGACTCACTTAGTGCCATCAGGAGCTCCTGTTTAGATCTCCCTCCCTGGGGTGCCTGAGCCTGTCGTGGAGCCCAGGTTTGCTTCCTGAACCCAGCCTGGGTCCCTCTGGCTCTGGAAGGGTGAACCCAGCCAGCAGACAGTGGCCGGTGGCTGGCAGGGAGGACTTCAGACTACCTCATCCTGCATTTTAGGCAGGGCCCAGGTCACCATCCCCCCTGGAACCCAGAGAGTAACCTGGTGGCTCAGAGTTCTTGCAAAGGCCTAACCCTGGCCTGTAACCTCTCTGTCCTCATTTCCTATCTACTCCCACTTCTCAGCAGCAGCCTTATGATTTCTCAAACACATTAGGCACAATCCTACCCCCCCAAGGCTTTGCACTGGCTGTGCCCTCTCTCAGAACATGCTGTCCTGAGAGGTATGTCCACTTCTTTCAGATCCCTGCTCCTCAGGAGAATGTGGGCAGAATGCAGCCATCCCATGCTCCCAACTGTCTGCCTCACTTGTATTTCCCCTTGGCATCTACCTAGGTCTCACTCTATAGGCCAGGGCTGGTCTGGAACTTGTGGCAATCCTCCTGACTCAGCCTTTCAAATGCTTGGATTATAGGTGGGAGCCATTATGTCTGGCTGCCACCACTGTTGCAGTCTAGTCACCTGTAGCCAGCTGTCATCTACTGTCTGGCCCTCCTACTACATGAGCACTATGGGCAGGGGCATGCTTCACTGTTTCCCAGTGCCCAACACAGAAGGTGCTTAGAAAACACTGAATGAACAAATGAATAGATGAATTAATACAAACTGTAGCCTCTGATGTCCTTCCTCAGCCCCTGATGGGCCCCAAGGCTATTAAGGGGACAGGTGGGGACCAGGCCAAGGGGGTGGGGACCAGGTGGGCCTACCTTGTAGTACTTGCCATAGATGTTGGACACCATCATGATGATGGGGAAGCCCATGAAGGTGACCAGGGAGAGCTGCCATGAGAGGCTGAACATGAAGACCACCACACCTGTGACCTTGACTGTGTTCCTCAGGAAGATGTTAATGTTCTGGGAGACCAGGTCGCTGACCATGGTGGTGTCGGAGGTGAGGCGGGAGATGAGATCCCCTGGAACACAGGCTGCTCAGCTCCTGCTGCAGCAAGGAGGCCAAGGGCTGCCGTGGTGGGCGCAGGGGAGGGCAAGGGGCTTCTGAGATGGACACTGCAAGGCAGACCTTCCCCTGCCATGCCTTTTGGGAGCAAAGGGGGAATACTTTTGGAGGAATAGGGAGCCCCAGTCCTCAGTATCTTTTTTGTTTTTGTTTTATTTAAGACCAGGACTCATGTACCCAGGACAGCCTTAAACTTTTAGCAGTTCTATCTCCACCTCCCGAACCTTGTTTAAAGCACCTGTCTGCCCACACAAAGGCAGTGGCTGGAGCTCAGCCGGGGCAAGACCTGCCCACGGCAGCTAGATTTGAAACCCATTTTTGCTCCCTGACACAGGCAGAGTGCATAAGTACCCCCACCCTAGAAACGGCCATCTGGTCTTGGGGAGGGACACTGGGCTGGGAGACTCCTAACATTCTTAGAGAAGAGAAAATGGACTCTGGGGTGAGGCGTAGAACTGAGGCTCAAGATTGGCTGGTCTGGCTCAGTACTTGGGACTATGGCAAATATCCTGTTGCTCTCCTTGCTCTGGCCCACCCCACTGCTCAGCCCACAGGAACTCAGCCCACATGGAATGGCCTGGCCAGGGTTCTATGGTAGCCACAGCTCACACTAAAACCTCTGTGGGCAGCTCAGCATCCCATTCAGCTCCACTCTGAAGGTGACCACAGTTAGGGCTAGCTGGGCAAGGCATATTCTTGCTAGACAGGTCAGCCCACCCTCAACACCCAAGTTCCCGGGAGGGAAGACCAACCTGTGCGGTTTTCATCAAAGAAGCTTGTCTCCTGAGACACCAGTGAGCGGAAGAGACAGTTTCGAAGGCGAATGTTCAGTCTGGCAAATATGAGGGTAAAAATGCCGCCCCGAATACCTGCGGCAAATGAGCTAATTGCAGATAAGAGATGTTATAGCTTGGTGTCCTTCCAGCAGGTGATAGCCACCATCCACCACCTCCCCCTCTGCCGGCAGCTGGGGCCCCACAGGATGAAGGCAGACAGTCCACTCTCCTGGTCTAGACCCCCTCACTCCCAATGATCCCTTACAGCAAGGGACCCAGCAAGGGAAACCTCTGCTGTCGGCCAGACTTTGCCTTCTGGAGCAGCAAAGCTGATCCTTTTGTTCAAGAAACCTGCCAGGGTTAGAGAAAGTAGTGCCCTCAGGGAATAAAGCCATTTTTAGAGACAAGACTGTGTGGCTCTAGGATGTAGCCCAACCAAAGGGTTCCAAGCCAGTTTGGATGGTCACCATGGTGATGGGCTGCTCCCGGGCTGGCCCTCCCTCTCTCCCTCCCTCCCTCCCTCCTGCAGGTATGTTGTATGTGGGTTGAGTGGCTACCTGCCAATGGCCAGCAGGCACACAACGACCACAGCCGTGCTGAACTGGTCCATGCTCTTCTGGATAACAATGCTGTCGATGGCCCGGCCTGTGTAGTAGGGCAGGAAGGTCTCTCCTGGGAGAGGCAGAGAGGGCTCAGGGGCATCTATGTACAGTCAGGGATCCCCCAGCCACCCTCTCTGCTTACCCTACCCATGGTCTATTCTGCAACTGTCTACTTGTCCCTTGTAGTAATTTATCAACTTGATGGAACTTTTTAAAATCTCCATGGAAAAAAAACTCTGGGCATGTCTATGAAGGAGTTTCTAGATTTGATTAATTGAGGGGGGAAGACCCACCTTAAGCCAGCCATTCTATGGGCTGGACCATTTCATGGGCTAGGATCTTGACCTTCATAAGAAAGCAAGCTGGGCATCAGCATTCATCTCTCTTTGCTTCCTGACTGCAGATGCCACGTGACCAGCGGTCTCAAGTTTTACCACCATGCTTTCCCAGCATGATAGCCTGTACACTCAGACTGTGAGCCATGATGGCCTATACCCTTAAACTATAAGCCAAGACAGACCCTTCCTTCCTCAGATTGTTTTTGTCAGATATTCCATCACAGCAAAAAGAATATAATTAATGTACCCCCTTCAGAGAAAACACTCAGTTACAGGTCTGCATGACCCAGGCTGATGCTGAGGGTAATGCCCCAGGTACTGAGCACACAGCCACACCTCCTATGTGACACTGTCATCCACAGATGAGGAAAGTAAAATGATACACCCAGGCCACACAGCTCATCAGCAGCTGACAGGTGCCAAGGGGATTTCATTCTCTTCCTAGGCCCTGGGTAGAGGGTTCAGAGTCCACTTCTAGAACCCGGTTCTAGGCAGTGCTGGTCCTATCCCTCTGAGGAGTGAGGCTCTGCAGCTTGCAGGGTGATTTCTCACCCACTGCTTTTCAGGTGTCTTCTTCACACCCTGGAGACTCAGAGAGGCTAAGTAATTTGCTCAAGTTCACAGAGCAAGGAAGAAGAATGGAGACTCAAACTCAGTTTACTATACGTAAGAGGTGAGGGCCTTTCAGGTGTGTTTAACTCAGGAGGGCTGGGCTTGGGCCCTACAACAGGGCTCAGCCGGTAGACTGGTTCTGTCTTGCCTTCCCTTCTGCCCTGTGAGGACAGTATTCCTCTCTTCCAAGGACGCAGCCACAAGATTTCAACCTGGAAGCAGACAGCAGCCCTCGCCAGCACCAAACCTGGTAGTACCTTTGTTTGTTTGTTTGCTTTTTGTCTTTTTGAGACAGGGTCTCCCTGTAGCCTGGAACTTGGTATGTAGACCAGGCTGGCTTCGAACTCGCAAAGATTCGCCTGCCTCTGCCTCCCGAGTGCTGGGACTAAAGGCGTGTGCCACCATGCCAGGCACACCTTTGTTTTTTAGCAATGGGAAATGGCACCCAGGGCCTTGGCTGTGCTAGGTGAGTGCCTACCACTGAGCGGCATCCCAGTCCCTATAAATTCCTATTGTAGCCCAGGAAAGCTAAGACGCTGCCCCACCCCCCACCCAAAGCCCACTCTCATGGAAATGGTAGGTGTAGAAAGGAGGAGCATGGCCTCTCAGGGCTGCTTCTTCTGGACTGTCCCCACCTCAGTGCTCTCCACAGGCTGAGCTAGGCTTGGGGCAGGTGGCAGGTGCTCAATACAGGTTACTATGAACAATGCCCTTCCATGGGGCTCTGGTGCCCTCTGCTGGACATGGTTAAGAAACCATGAAGTGGTCACCTAGAGGGTCTCCCACCCTCAGGATCTGGCCAGATGGGGTCTCTAGTCATAGCTGGGTTCCACCTGAACTGCAGCTCTGCCTCAGTTTACTCGATGGGGAAGAAAGGGCCAGTGAGCTCTGACAGCAAGTAATGATAATGATGATAACCCTAGTGGGTCCTATGTGATGGGGAAGCATTGTGCAAACTCTCTAGTTCAATCCATATATCACTTGACGTTCCAAATCCTGCATTGCGCTTTTGCAGTATTTCCAGAATCTAACCATTACTGATGCCCCAGTGGCCCCACTCTGCCTCCAAGTCACCCAGCTTGCCTGGACTATCTCAGGAGCTGTTCCCTACCTTCCACACCTGAGCATAGAATGGGATTTCATCAAACTCAATTCAGATCTTGTTCCTGCTCAGCTCACACAATCCATTTACTCCCAGCTCACCCTGGGTAAGAGCCAAAGTTCTCTCAATGGCTCACAATGACCTGTGCAAGGAGCCACGTGACTTCATCTGCTTGCTACCGTGTTCTCTGCTCCAGCCCCAATAACCTCTAATGTCTCCTTAACAAACAGATACCTGTTGCCTCAGGACCTATGCACAGCTGGTTCCTCTGCCTAGAGAGAGCACATCTCAATGCTGGTCCCTTGTCTCCTCCAAGTCCCCCAAAATCACTCAGTGTTCCTATGGGTTTGGTATTTTTATTCTTGCTATTTGTGGAAACAACTTCTTTCCACAGAGGAGGAAAGTAGAGCTCATAGCAGTTAAATCACTTGCCTACATTTATATATAGTTGGGCTGCCAAGAAATTCACATGAAAGAATCCTGATTTACAGTGCTTGGGAGCTGAGGCAGGAGAAAGCAGGAAGATCAGTTCAAGGCCAGCCTGGGCTACACAGTTAGGTTGAGGCCAGTCTGGGTTACTTAAGACTGTCTCAAAACAACAACAAAACAGCAAAATAACAAAACAAATAGGAGATGATGAAATGGCTCAGTCAGTAAAGTGCTTATTTTGAAAACATGAGGACCTGAGTTCTGATCCTTAGCATCCATATGAAAAACTGAGCATAGTGGTACGTTTCTTTTTCTTTCTTTCTTTAGTTGGTCTCCATAGCTCCAGCTGGCCTGGAACTCACTATGTAGACCAGGCAGGCTTTGAACCTTGAATTCACAGAGATCTGCCTGCCTCTGCCTCCTAAGTGCTGGGACTAAGGGCATGCATCACCATGCCCAGCAGTGGTATGTTTCTGTAACTCCAGCACTAGGGAAACAGAAACAGGTAGATTCCTGGAGCTCACTGGCCAGCCAGCCTAGCCAAACTGGTGAGTGTCAGATTTAGTGAGAGATCTTGTCTCAGAAAATAAAGTGGTAGGATGGGTGTGGTGGTGCACACCTATAATCCAGCACTAGGGAGGCAGAGGCAGGCGGATCTCTGTGTGTTCAAGGCCAGCTTGGTCTACATAGTGAATTCTAGGCCAGTCAAGGCTACATAGTGAGACCCTGTCTCAAAAACAAAACAAAAAAATAAAATAGCTGGGTGTCGTGGCACATGCCTTTAATCCCAGCATTCGGGAGGCAAAGGCAGATGGATCTCTGAGTTCAAGGCTAGCCTGGTCTTCATAGTGAATCCAGGCCAGCTGGGGCTACAGGGAGACCCTGTCATAAAATAAAATAAAATAAAATAAAATGAAATGAAATGAAATAAACAAAACAAAATAAAATAAAATAAAGAGTGGAGGGGACTAGTGAGAGCTCAGCAGGTAAAGGTACTTGCTGCTGAGCCCGATGACCTGAGGATCCACGTGGTGGAACAAGAGAACTGACTCCCTCAAGTTGTCCTCTGATTTCCACATACCTTCTATGACACAGACTCAACCTCACTTCCCAATAAATAAATTTAAAATGTGATAATTTCTTTAAAGAATCTCAGCAGAGATACTCAGTACTTTTCCAGTCAGCTGGTAAGCTTTTCTATCTTCAGGTTATGAGGGATAGAAAAAGGCATGAATGAATGGATGCTTGTAGGCTGGAAACAGTGACTAATGATCACAGGGTCTAATGCTTACTATGCACTTTTGCCGGATGTCCTGACTCGTGTCATTTAATTCTCACAATCACCTCACCCCATGGCAGGGTGGGAAACTGAGGCTTGGCTAACTTAACCAATTTAACTTCATCAGTGCGGTAGGAGTCTGACTCATTCTAAGCCCTTGGTCTGATGCAATCCTGATGGCGGGCAGGGCTCAGCTGAGCTCAGCTGCACAGAGGAACATCTGCATTCCCTGAACAGGCCACAGTTGCCCACAGGGCCACTACAGACATGGGAGCAAGGTCATGGACTAATATCTGGTGCCAGAGATCAGGATCCATAGTGAATCAGACCTGGCTGGGGAGGCAGAAGAGGGCAGGACTTTTGCATAACCAATAAAAACCAGTCAAAAGAATTCAAATGGCTGCTCAAGAGGAGCCTGACACTTGTGCAGAAGTTGGTTAAACGGAAGGGGGTAGACCGGCACTCACAATGGATGAGCTGCCCATGTACTGGGAGCTCTGAGGTGTTTTACCCCATTAGCTCCCCATGGGGGCTAGTATGGTTTGAATCTTCCATCACTCCAGAAGCTTGTACTCTAAAGGAAGAGTTCCTACTTGGGAGGTGGTGGCAACTTCAGGAAGAGGTGCCTAGATGAAGAAGTATGTCACTGGGGGGTGTCTCTCTGTCTCCTGAAGACACGCTGGGGGTGTCTCTGCCTCCTGGCCACCATGCAGTGATCAGTTCTTCCCCATTCTCACCATGACATTTTCCTTCCCCACAGGCCTCCAAACAACAGAGCTAGACAACCAGGGTCAAAACCTCTGCAACCATGAGCTTATTTACCGTTTCCTCCTTTAAATTTTTGTCTCAGGTATTTTGTCACAGCAACACATGGCTAACTAATGTGGGGACTGTGGTGTCCAATTTATAGATACGGAGGCTGAGACTCAGAGGCTGAGTAACTGGGGAGGGGAGTGAGAGGGGAGGTTAGTGGCTGGAAGAGGCTGAAGCATCCAGCCAGTTCAGGTTCACCTGTCTTCTTTAGACTACTCTGGCTTTATTGCCACCTCCAGCCTCTGTCCCTGTGACTTAGAATTTGGTAAACTCCTACTAGCCAACATTCCTGGGCACCTACCATGATGTGCCAAGCTCTGTGCTTGCTTCATGTCCTGTCTGTTTTTTTTTTATTGTTGTTTTGTTTCATCTTTTTTGAGACAGGGTCTCCCTGTAGCCCCAGCTGTCCTGGAACTCACTATGTAGACCAGGCTGGCCTTGAACTCACAGAGATCCACCTGCCTCTCCCTCCCAAAGGCTGGGACTAAAGGCGTCCTGTTTTTATATGAGTTTCATAAGGCCATGAATCTACTGATTGCCATTCCCCAGAAGGGGGAGTGAGGCTCAGAAAGGTTTATACAAATGCCCCAGGTCACATTGTTTGGTAAGAAACAAGACTAGGACCTATTCCAGGCCTTGCTGATACCAGAACCTGTTGAGTTTCAACCCTGCAATACTACCTTCCCACCTACACTGCTATAGTGCACCAGACACACTGCAACAAACACAGCTCATCTTCAAACCTAGATAGACTTCACCCTTCAGCTCCATGCAATAACATGAGACACATATGATCAAAACACATATAACAAGGAATAGGTGGAAAAACCTATGCCACAGTCATACAATGGAATACTATGTAGCCCAAGAAAAGAATGAGGTCCTGATGGGGAAATGTCCAGAATGCATCAAGTAAAAAGAGCAAGAAACCAAATGGAGGGGCTAGAGAGATGGCTCAACTGTTAAGAATGAGTATTGCTCTTGCAGAGGACCTGAGTACAATTCCCAACATCCACATCAGGTGGCTCTCAACTGCCTGTAACTCCAGCTCCAACTCCAGAGGATCAGCTGCTTCTAGCCTCCGCAGGCACTAGCACATACACATAGTTAAAAATAATAATGATGGGGCTGGAGAGATGGCTCAGCGGTTAAGAGCACTGGTTGTTCTTGCAGAGGATCCAGGTTCAATTCCCAGCACTGTACCCATATGGCATCTTACAACTATCTGTAACTCCAGTTCCAGGGAATCCAATGCATTGCAGGACATGGGTGCACTTACACACATGCAGGCAATATACTCATACACATAAAATAAAAAATAATAAGATATTTTTAAAAATAATAAACATTAGTATTTTTTTTAAAGAAATGCAGCACACATGCTGGGGCCACATGAAGGAACACTAGAAATACTACAAAGAGAGGATCCAGGGCTGGGGAGATGGCTCCCAGTGTAAAAACCTGGGAATCTCAACATGTGGCTGCAACCCCAGTGCTGGGGAGGTGGAGCCAGGAGGATCCCTAGGGCTCAATGGTCAGTCAGTCTAGCCAATCAGTGAGTTCCAGGTTCAGTATGAGAGCTGGATTCAAAATGTAAGGTGGAGAGCAAGAGAGGAAGACACCCAATGTCCACCTCTGGCCTCCATATACATGTATGAACACATACAAATGTGTACACATAAGAGAGAGATGAGGGGAAAGAGAGAGACAGAGACAGAGAGACAGAGAGAGAGAATGGGTTTCCCCCATGCAGCTTCTAAGACCTTTTACTGTAGCTAACCCTGGGCAGGATGATCAGGGTAGTCAAGGGGTAGAACTGGTAAGAGAGGTCTCAATTTTTCCCTTTCCATATCTTCTTTTTCTTTTTTTGTCTTTTTTTTTTTTGTTGTTGTTTGTTTTTTTGAGACAGGTTCTCCCTATAGCCCCAGCTGGCCTGGAACTCAATATGCAGACCAGGCTGGCCATGAACTCACAGAGATCTGCCTGCCTCTGCCTCCCGAGTGCTAGGATTAAAGGTGCGTGCCACCACGCCTGGCTGCATTAATCCATTCTTGAGGGGAAAACAATCATGACCTGCTTAGCTCTTAAAGATCCTGCCTCTTGGGACTGGAAAGATGGCTCAGCAGTGAAGAGCACAGTCTGCTTTTGTAGAGGACCTGGGTTTCATTCCCAGCAACTCATATGGTGGCCTATAATGTCCCTGAACTCTAGTTTCAGTACCCTCTTCTGGCCTCCTTGGGCATTTCGTGCACATGGTGCACTTACATAAATGAGGCAAAACACTCATAAAATAAAATAAGATCCTGACTCTTTTTTTTTTTTAATGGTCTTTTTGAAACAGGGTCTCCCTGTATCCCCAGCTGGCCTGGAACTCATTATGTAGACCAGGCTGGCCTCGAACTCACAAAGATCCACCTGCCTCTGCCTCCTGAGTGCTGGGATTAAAGGTGTGCGTCACCATGCCGGGCTTTCTTTTTCTTTTGAGATAGGGTCTCACTATATAGTCCAGGCTGGCCTGGAACTATGTAACCCAGGCTGGCCACAAACTCTCAGTAATTGTCCTCCCTGTTTCTCAAGAAACATGTCAGACACCATGCCCAGCCTTCCTGTATCTTTTGGGGGGTCTGTATCACTTAAGTAAATATGTCCACCTTTGGGAGGGGAGATGAGGTGGCTGGGCGGCTGGTCTTGCATCCCTGGGAAGCTGAAGCTTGACATGAGCCATCCCTGAGGCTCCTACTTACCCAGAGCTGCCACGATGAGGAAGAAGGAGGCAGCTACGAGGAAGGCCACATCAGGTTTGGTGTAGGACAGAAGCTTTTGCAATGTGGCCCCTGATGCCTGCTCAGTGGGCGGCTGGCCCTCTCCGTGGAAGCCTTCAGCCTCTGTTCCTGGATCCAGGGCCTCAGCATCTGGTCGCACAGTGGACAGCAGCCCCCAGAGCAGGAAGGAAGCAGCTAGTGAGATGTAGGTCCACACAAAGAGTGCCCAGAACCATGGGTCCCGGATGGGCCTGCGCACCTCCGAGAAGAGCAGCAGCTTGACCATGGCATAGATGCCCACAAAGAGGCACACAAGGGTGATGACAAGCCACGAGGCTCGTAGCCGCCGGGGCCCCAGGGCACTGTTCTTGGCCACGCCGATGGTGGCCCCCAGGAGCAGGCAGCTGCGGTACAGGCAGGCAGCCCAGAGGTCCAGCACCGAGTCAAAGATGTTGAAGTGGCGAATGTCCTCCAGCAGGCTGCGGTCCAGGTGACTGAAGGCATAGATGGCCGTGGTCACACCTACATCCATGCTTACAAAGGCCAGTGTTGCCACCACTGCCTTCCACAGCTGCATCCTGCTGGCAGTGCTGAGGGCAGGCTGTAGTTCACCGGGGCAAGGCCATCATCATCTGTGGGGCCAAGTCACACCTACAGAAGCAACAGTGAGCATCAGGGCCAGGGGTTCAGGTATGCTCCTGGGCTATGGTCACTGACCTTTCTAGGCTGTGCTTCCTTATCTCTAAAGTGGCAATAACGGTGATTTTCTAGTCTGTTGGGAAGTTTCTCACTCAAGGGCTGCTCACCAAGCATCTGCTGCAGGCCCAACTCTGTTCCACTTTATCTTTTTTGAGACAGAATCTCACTGAATCTGGAGAGGAATACACATGTATACACACACAGCACAGCACAGCACAGCACCGCAAACCAAGTTCCTGTGAAGCAGACTTACCAATATGGGAAAGAGATTAACCAGTGACTGATAGGTCCTAAGGTAGGAGAGAGGGGTGAAGAGCATTAGGTGGTACCACAGCAAAGCTCAGAAGAGGGGAGGGTGCCAGGCCTGAGGATGGCAAGTTCAAGGTCTGCCTAGGAGACTTAGTAAGATCCCATCTCAAAATAAAAACATAAAGCTGGGGTTATGGTTCAGTTTTAGAACATGTGCCTCTTATATGTGAAATCCTGGGTTCAATACCTAGCACTAAAGAAAAAAGGTAGGGATTCTGCCCCATGGACCTATTGGGAGAGAAGCATTTTGGACAGGTGAAATAGGCCAGAACCCTGAGGCAAGAGGGTACTGCCTGTACTGGAGGAAGGCAAGGAAGTTCCAGGCAGTGACAGAGGGGAGGGTGTGGGGACCACCATGGTAAGGGTGAAGCTGAGATGAGCAGAACTCAACAGATGGCTGCTGGTATCTGAACTGTTCCTTGTTTGCAGTGTTAGGATGAAGTTCCGGGGGGGCCTGGTCACAATGCCTAGCTGCTGCTACGGGTTATCAACTGTACACATGGTATTCTAATTAAACGCTTACTCTCTTAGATAGGTTCCATGGCAACCCAGGGACCTTTGTGTCTGCGTGGAAGTTTCCAGAAACTTTTCATCTAGAGACTGGCCCTTACCTCCAGCCATACACCCCTTTGGCTTTTCCGGATCTTATTGTCTGCTTCTTTCAAACACCCCCTGCACTGGACCACTCGGGACTTGCTGGGCCTGGGTGAGCTCAGAGCTGCAGGAACACCAGAAGTAAGCCTGGTGGCCTGGGTCTAGGGGTGACATTGCATACTGGGTCATGACCAGATTTTCTTGAGATGGGGGTGCTGCCTTGTTGGTAAAATAGGTAAAGTTAGCTGGGCGTGGTGACTCATGCCTTTAATCCCAGCACTTGGGAGGCAGAGGCAGGAGGATCTCTGTGAGTTTGATGCCAGCCTGGTCTACAGAGCGAGTTCCAGGCATCTGGAGCTACAGGGGACTTACTGAGTCAGGATGTCCCATGTGGAGGGAGAGGCAATGAGTGGCAGAGACTTACTGAGTCAGGATGTCCCATGTGGAGGGAGAGGCAATGAGTGGCAGAGACTTACTGAGTCAGGATGTCCCATGTGGAGGGAGAGGCAATGAGTGGCAGAGACTTACTGAGTCAGGATGTCCCATGTGGAGGGAGAGGCAATGAGTGGCAGAGACTTACTGAGTCAGGATGTCCCATGTGGAGGGAGAGGCAATGAGTGGCAGAGACTTACTGAGTCAGGATGTCCCATGTGGAGGGAGAGGCAATGAGTGGCAGGCTTACTGAATCAGTATAGAGGGGACCAACCTGGTCAGGATACCTCCTCCTCAGAGCTCTGATGGCTATACCATGGGAATGGTCCTTGTGCTGTGGAGTCATCTGACCTCATGCAATCCCACAAGACCTGTTTCTCCCCACCTCCATTTATAGCTGGGGAAACTGAGGCATTGAAAAAGTCACCTTCTGTAGTCACTCAGCCAACAAAGGTCCAAATCAGGACTAGAGTCCTTGTGTGAAGGATGCTAGCACCTGGGGCTTCCACCTGTGTACTATGTACCTGGCATACAGTAGGAGTCCAATAACTGCATCACATGTTTATGGAACACAGCACCTTAATCAACACCTGCTCCACATGTGTTCACTTACCCTCAGGACAACTTTGTGACCTCTGCACTGTTATGGTCCCCATGGAGCAGTTGAACAGCAAGAGCTAGTCAATACAACTTCTCAGTATGACAAAGACTGAACAGCGTGTGTTCCCTTAAGGAAAATAGGGTCTGGGGTCCACATCAGAGGGGGCTCAGTCAAGAAGAAGTTCAGGATGACAACAGAAACAGCTGGCATTTATTAATGTGAACAAGAGCAAGGTGCTGCTCTAAGTAATTTACATATATTAAATTAATTCCCATGAGAACCCCATGAAGTACGTTCTATTATTATCTCAACCTTATGGTTGAGAAAACTAAGGCACAGAGAGGTCAAGTGATCTGCCTCAGGTCACACAGCAAGGGAGTTGGGTGTGGAGCTCTGAAATCTGCTCTACAGCTCTATACTTGAACACAGTCTCTTCCAGGGTAGACATGACTCCTAATGCTGCTAAGAGGGATCTGAGATGTAGAGAGCATGGGGTGTGATGGGACCCAAGACTGGGTTTTGTTGTCATCCTGGACGATTTGAGTCTGTGTCAGAGATGTTGCTTCATTAGTCAGCACTTGCAGTTTCGAAGGGAACCAGGGCCAACTGGGGTCAGTAGACGGGATGAGACAGGCAGACACTCCTGCCCGGCCTTCCTTCATCTGGCCTTCCTTCATCCCAGCTGGGGCTGAGCTGCCAGCACAGCTCCTGGGCTCCATCTACTGCAATGCAGACACCTCAGGGAGCAAGTGAGTGGGTGAGCTCCGTCGGAGCCCAGCAAGGGAAGCTCCTGGCTCAGTGTCACCCCAGGCCTCCTGCCAAGCTAGTGCCAGTTTCACTAGGCCTGCCAGGCACCCAGCTGCTGCCTTCTCATGATAGGCACTAGGGGTCCATGGGCACCAGGGGTTCACAGCTTCCAGACAGGTGGAAGATCAGACAGAAATGGCCAGCCTTCCACCTGACTCCCAGTCATGGAAGATTCCTTTCTGAAACCCCACCTAGGAGTCCCTACACATCTTCACTGGAAATAAAGCTCCAGATGCCAACAGCACAGGCTAGCTGAAGCACTTTTGCAGGTGGGGAAATGAAGCCCAGGGAGGGAAGAAATGAGACTTATCCAGGGTCACCCAGGACAGGGCACCCATGGCACCTGGGTCCCCTGTCCCAAGGGCTGTGTCCATCCACTCCAAGCTCCCAGTGAGAAGAGTCCAACTCAGGTTAGGCTGGGTTACAGTTCTGTGGGGGCAGGTTACTCTGTTGTTTTTAAAGTTACTGAAAATTAAAAGCACAAGCACAAACTGTGAGGTGTGAGGCTGGGGACCAAAAGGCTGCTTGGAAGCACCTCCCTGCCCTCTCTCTGCCCGACTCTGAGGACGGGCCAGCTGAGTTTGGCTAGGTGGAATTGGAGGGCACATGGGTGATGTGAGTGGCCCAAGAGACAAGGGCAAGATGGTGGGTGGAAGCCAGAGCAGGCCTTGCTTAGGGGCCAGTAGGGCCCAGGAAGACAGGGCAACTTGCCTTGACTCAAATGATAAGGGCACAAGACTGGCAAGTGACCCCATCCCCACTGGGGGTGGGGGTGAGTTTGGGAACTGTCTTATTTTTTGGATGCTGAGTAATCAGACCTCCCACATGCTAGGCAGGCAGCTATAGCCCCAGCACTCAGGGGTCTTGAGAAAGATTTTCATGCCAGTAGAGGAGATGATGGCTGAGGTAGCTCCTGCTGCCAGATGCAGTAAAGTCTGAAATAGCTAGGAGATAACAGAACTAGCATTACAATCCTAACAGTTACCAGCTTGGGTGTTTCCAAGTGCCTGACACCTCCCAGCTCAGTGACCCAATACCCTAGGAGGCTGACAGTCGCCATGCCCATTACAGCTTGAGGGAAACCCTAGACTCCACCCTTGGGTGGTGGGATCTTGCCCAGGCTACACTGTCCTGCCTTGGGTGGCCCAAGTGGCTCCCATTCACACCTCACTCTGGTCTTTTCACTCCCTGGGGAGGCGGGCCACTACTCAGCAGGCACTGGCTGCCATGGTTGCTGAAGACAGGGGCACACCCGGGCTGGGTCCACATGGCTCCATCCTGACTTCTGCACTTGCTACCAATCCCCTCCACCCCACCACCCCCGCCCTATGACCCGATACTGGGACTGCTACTCCTTGGTGGACTCCAGGTTCTCAGGTAATTTATAGCTCTAGGCTGAGCAAATTGAGAGCTTCCTACAGTCCGCCTCTTTTCACTTGGCCTCAACGCCATTTGTAGCATGGAGGAGGCCACCCATCTCTAGGGGGTGGGGCAGAGGGTATGGAATCGGGTCGGCCGGGCATACAGCTATCTCAGTTAACGTAGGCCGGGAAGGAGGTGCCCCCAAACGAAGGAAGGGACCCTGGGAACGCACAGGCCTGACTGCCCAGAGGGTTCTGGGGAGGGGTGTCAGCCCACAGACCGGCCGGGGAGACGCAGGGGAGGGAAGGGACTGGCCCAGGTGAGCAGCCCGGGCAGCCCCCAGGCTTTGACACCTCCCGGGCTCGGGATCCCTTAGAAGTCGCCGGTAGCTGCACTGAGGGGACCACAGCGCTCCCAGGATTCTCTGCAAACGCATCTTACACACGGTTTTTCAGAAGACAGCGTCGCAGAGGGGTTTTTTTCAAAGGCGAATTGCCCCAGTGGGAGCGGGAGGATGCGGCAGAGCTGGGGGAGGGACCTGTGGGTGCACCTCCCCCTTACGTTCCTTACCTGCGACTTGGCACCAGGTAAGCCGGGGGAAGGGGACGTGGCGCGGCCCCGGGCGCGGGGGACGCAGGCTCCGAGCCTCTTATCAGAGACCGCGCTCCGCTAGCTCCGTTCCGCCCGCCTCCCGCCCGCGCAGCGACTCTGCAAGGTCGGAGCTGAGCCCCGCCGGCGCCCCGACCAGCAGACTGGATGGGCGGGGCCGGGGGCGGGGCCTCCGAGGAAGGACTCCGCAGTCTCCTGGAGGGGCGGGGCCTCAGGGGAGGTGGGCGGGTCATCTTGGGCGAGGCAGGCCTACGGGGCCGGAGCGCACGAGGCTTTCTGGAGGGACCGCCATCCTTGGTGGGGCGGGGTCTGTGGAATTGGCTTCCCTGATGGGGCAAGGATGGGGAGGAGCCTCCAGAATAGGGCGGGGCTTCTAGAAATAGGGCCAGAGATGGAGCCTCCAAGGCGGAATGAAGCCTCAGGGATAATGGGCGGGACATTCTCAAGTGGGCGGGGCTTCCTGGGCCGGGAGGGACGGAGCCTAGGGGGCGGGACCTGAGCTCGCTGTCAGAATAACCTGCAACAAACCCCATCTCCATCCAGTTAGTAGGCTCAGTGTTCCCTAGCTGGTCCTCAGTGCATCCTCTGGGAGTAGAAATGCTCTTTAGTAGGGCCTTTTCCCCAGAGGCACAGCCTTGTAGCCCTTAAGGGTGAAATGGGTTATGATCCTCATTTGTTCTCTCATCTATCCAACAAGTATTTATCGAGTACCTACTATGCTGTATTCCATTTTAAACATTTGAGAAGCTGGGCGTGGCTGCACGCATCCATAGTCCCAGCTACTCGCGAGGTTGAGGAAGAAGGATCATATGAGTCGCGGAATTCGTTTAACAAAAAGGAAAGCCAACAGGAACCCATCAGAATCTCCGCCCTTCTGGAGTGGTCAGTGAAGGAGTTAGACTAAGTAGACTGCATATATTAGAAAGGAGCACATTATATGGAGAATAAGAAAATATTTTATGGGCTAAGGAGAGGGGTGTGATTGCTAGGCGTTAGAAACACTGCAAAGTGAGAAAAGGACAGAGTACTCCACCTTTGTAAAGCAGGGAAGATAGGAAATCCACCAGGAAATATGTAAGATAATTTCAGATGGCATTAAGTGCTGTAAAGGGAATAGAGTTGGGGATGTGACATTTGCTTAGTTAACAAGCCTGAGGCCCTGCGTTCCAGTTCCTGTACCACAAAAACAAAATAAAAGGAAAGAAAACTCAGTGACAGGATTGAAAATGGCATGTGACAACTTTAACTGGGAAGACCTCTCTGAGAAAGAAGAGGAGTGAAACGCAGATGTGGAGGGAGAGCATTCTAGGCTTGGATATTTGCAAGTTCAAAGGCTCTTAGGTGGGAACTAGCCAGGTCATTCCAGGGGTAGAAAGAGTCTGTGTAGCCAGAACTGTGAGAACTGAGTGGGAGTAAGTGCAAAGCCCAGAGATATCCTCCTATGTCCACCCATCCTCAAGTGGAGACTGAGTACACTATGAATTTTAAAATAGCCTCTAATAGCCCCAGGGGACAGTCTTCCTGGAGAGGAACTGGGTAACATTCAGCATTTAAAACATTTTTTTTGACCCAGTAGGAATGTCTTCTACAGAGAGATTCATGAAAGGAACTAAGATACTAGTTTGAAAACAGAGTTGCTATAGTAGCAAAAGTCTGGAAATAACCTAAATACCCATCCACAGGGACCTTGAGAGATAATTAGAGAATATTCCATCAGCAGAACACTCAACAGCAGGGAAACTGCACATATAGTAGAAAGTTCCATAAAGTTATGAGTGACCACCCACATCTATTGAGTGAAATTGAACAACTGTCTGCTTCTGTTGAAAACAAAGGCCAGTTTATACTTGAACTTAAGAAGAGAGTATCTTGGGTTATTCAGAGCCAGGTCCACATCCTTTTTGCTGTGCAAACTTGGGTATGTGACTCTGAACCTGTTTTCCTATCAGAAAGCAGGGTTAATAAATATACCTGATGCTTTGAAGAATGGTGAAGGTTAGGTGTGGCCTGCCAGGACTGCCCCGGCACATGATAAACACTCGATTGGTAAATGGGAACAAGGATCATTTTTAGGAAAGGTGGGATGACTCTGAACCTTGATGCACCTAGAGTATCCATAACAGTAAAGAACTGTCAGGACTAGTGAGATGGTTCAGAGGGTAAAGGTGCTTGCTGCCAAGCCAATGACCAGAGTTCAATCCCCAGGATCCACATGGTGGAAGGAGAGAACCACTCCCAAAAGTTGTCCTCTGACCTCCAGTTGCGTGCACATATGTACATATAAATACATATACACACTAAATAAGCATATAAATAAAATATAATAAAAAGAAAAGAGCTGTCAGAAAAGAAATGCTGAGATTTGCATGTCAATTTCATTGTTGGCTGTTTCTCCACAGGGCCTTCACCTCTGGTTCCCAAGCTTGCAAGTTCTTCTGTCTCTCATCTCCTATGTCTCTTTGTACCTTGTCCTCTCTGTCAAGGATCAGTGTCTAAAACCTCGCCACCGCCATTTTCACATGAGATCTAGCCTACTTTTTATCTTTTAAATAGTGTCTCCTTGTAGCCCTGCCTGGCCTGGAACTTGCTATGTAGACCAGGCTGGCTTACGTCTCACAGAGATCTACCTGCCTCTGCATCCTGAGTGCTGGGATCAGGCACATGCACCACCATACCCAGTCTTTTTTTTTTTTTAATCAGCATCTCACTATGCAGACCTTGCTGGCCTGGAACTTGCTACATAGACCATGCTGGTCTCAAGCTCTCAGAGGTCAGTGCCTCTGCCTCTCAAGTGCTGGTATCCGAAGCAGGTGATCCCTCACCCAGACAGACTCTACTTTTTTTTGTTTATTTTGAGATAATGGCATGTTAAGTAGCCCAGGATGGCTTTGAGTTTGTGATCTTCCCCTTCACCATCCTTCCATTCATCCCCTATGGTAGAGCAGCCTAACTGGGTTGAGTGACATGAGACCACCTCCAGTGTAATCACAGAAACTGGTTTAGGTGAGCTTGGGCCTCTAGGTGAGTGATTGCTAATGGTCATTTCTTGGGGGGGGTGGTTCTAAATATTTATTGTGGTGCTAGCTGCATAGCTCAGTGAATCTACTAAAACAAACAAACCACCACAACCACTGAATTGCCCTGTATATGAGTGAATTATACTGTATATGATGTGTGACTTCATAAAGCTGTTCTTCAAAAGGAAGAAAATGAGGCTGGAGAGATGGCTCAGCAGTTAAGAGCAATGGCTGCTCTTGAAGAGGACCCGGGTTCAATTCCCATATGACAGCTAACAACCATCTGTAACTCAAATTTTAGGGGATCCAAAGCCCTCTTCTGACCTCTAGGGGCACTGCACAAGGGTGCACTTACCTACATACAGACAATATACTTGTAAGCATTAAAAAAAAAATAATAAAAATAGGGGCTGGAGAGTTGGCTCAGTGGTAAAGAGCACTGGCTGCCCTTGCAGGGGACCCAGGTTCGAATCCCAGCACCCACATGGCAGCTAACAACCATCTGTAATTCCAGTTCCAGGGGATCAGATGCCCTCTTCTGTCCTCCTTGGGCATTGCATGACATGGGTACACTTACACACATGCAGATAATATATTCATACACAGAAAATAAAAATAATAAACAAAAATAAATAAAAATTAAAAAGAAAATGGGAAGGACATTGTGCTCACTTTCTGATCACAGCCATGGATTCATGGAAGGAAAACTGAGCACTTTTTCTGGGGGCTTCTGGGACATACACAATTTTCTCCAGACACAGATGAAAATAAGTAGCCCCAAAGGCATGGCAGGAACACATGGGACCTGGGTTAGAATGAAATGAATATACAACAATAAATACAGGAGGAAAGACAGGGAGAAGAGGGAGGAAGAGGGAGGGAGAGGGAAAGAGAGACAGGGGGAAAGAGGAAGAGAGAGGGAGAGAGAGGGAGGAAGAGGGAAAGGGAAGTCAGAGAAGATGGAGAAAAGAGAGGAGGGAGAGGGTAGAGACTTCCAAACTAGGCCTGGTAGCACACACCTGTAATTTCAGCACTCAGAAGGTAGAGGCAGGAGGATCAGGAGCTCATTTTCCTTGGCTACAAAGCAAGCTTGAAGTCAGTCTGGGATATAGGAGATCCTATTTCAAAGCAACAACAACAAATGTAATACCATTTACATTAATGTCCCTCAAAACATAATAGTTGTAAATTTACAAAATGTGGGCTCCTCACATATACTGGACCTACAGGACCTGGAGAGGCCACAGTGGAGGGCAGGGGTCCATGGGCTCTACCAGGAGAGGACTTGTAACCTCCTCTCCCAACAAGAACCCCAAGAACATTGAGGCTACAGAGACCAAGACCCCACTCTCCTCTCTGCCACACAGCACCACGTGGACCTACTGAAGCCAGAGGGAGCTAACATCACTCTTCAATTCTGCAGCTGTTAGCAATCCAGTTCCTACTTATTCTTTCCATCTCTGTTTTCTATTATTGCCTTTCTACTCTTGTATATATGTCTCATGATTTTTTTTCTTTTTCTTTTTTGTATATGTTGGAAACAGGGCCATAAGGGCCAATATATGTTTAGACAACATGGTAGTGATGTGGATATCCAGTATGAGCTGGCTAAAACATGGCTAACACCAAATGTCTGGAAACTTCAAAAGTAAGCAGTGACATAATCTGTTACTTTTTTGACAAAGTTCCACTTTTGTACCATTCCATATAAATATGGCCTTGCGGTTTGAGGCCTGAGCCCTTAGTGGTGGGCAGACTGCATGTCTGTGGGCCATGTGCCTATCTCTGTGCCAGTCTATGTGTATGCCTGTGCTTGCCTGTGTACAGCAGTGTTGGGGATCCTGCCCTGACACAGGAGCTGGGGAAAGGGAAGTGCGCTGTCCACCGTTACCCGTAGCCTCCCTGGGAGACAATCAGACACGACAGGGAGCCAGTCAAGCAGGAACTCCTTTATTGCAGGTGTTTACAGAGCTTATAAAGGCAAAAACCACAAGGAAAATCCCCTCCCCAACCAAATGTCCAATCATTTTAAAGGTGAACTTGAGCATGCAGTTTCCTGTCCATAGCACAGCATTGTGTTCGCGGGGTGATCATGCGCTGCC